TTTTATACTTTTACGTTACACCCCAAGTAGCGGGTCAGTGTATTCCGAAGTACGGAAGTTATGTATATAGAGAAAAATAAAGGGTTTTGTATACCCTTCGTGTGTATCCTGTCTACTTACCACAATTAGTGAACATAGCTTTAGTAAGCTCTCTGTTCCGAGTCAGGTCCTTGTATGTTCCCGAAGAAGGTAAGAAGGAACATTGACCCTGATACTGGCGCCCAACGAAGAAGAATAACCATGGCCGAGTTTCAAGAAGAACCTGTGCTACCTGCAGAAACGGCTCAGAATCCAGAAATGCCAGCTTCCGCCCTGGAAGGATTTGGTTACATCGTCCAGACCATGCGCGCTTCGATGAAACCAGAAGCAACTTTTAATGGAAACTCACCGGTAATCAGTTTTTTGGAAAAATTGGATGACCATTTCATGTTCTACCCCGTGCACGAGTTTCAAAAAGTTACCTTAGCTACCAGCGCTTTGAGGGGCCAAGCGCTTAACTGGTTCAAATATATAGGAAGAAAGCTCTTGGGTCAAGCAGGAAGTCCCACCTATACTTACGAAAATTTCAAGACTGCCTTAGTAAAGGCCTTCCCTGTCGTAAGAAATCGTGCCAAATTGGAAGCGGAACTCTTCAGCATATACCAAGCAGTAACGAATCGAAAATCTCTCAAAGCTTTATTTTAAGAAAAATTACACGTCTTTAAAGCTCTTGTATGGAAGCCGGCCGGATCCTGAAATAATTCAAGTGATTTTGCCTAGGTTACTTCCCCAAGTACAAGACTTTATTGAATTAAGGAATCCGACGACACTGGAAAAGTTATTTGAGCTCGCAATCCAAGTTTGAAAGTAGAAGAACGGCGGACGTCGAAAGAAGACGCCAATATCAACAGCGAAACCAATTTGGTACGCCAAGACTACAGCAAACTCAAGCACACGGCTACGGAGAAAAAGCGAATCAGTGGGCAAGGAAACCCGAGCATTCAAAAACAGCCGGCGAACGTCGACAGTTCAATAGCAACCCAGGAAAAAAGTCTCAAGACCAGCTGCCATCAAACGGCCAAGACCGCAAGCAGAGGAGAAAAAGAAGGTATTCAAGGGTGACCGAACTGGTGAAAAAAGGAAGCTTCCAGAGAAAAGCACTGAAGGGCGAGCCCGTACAAGAAGGAGGATAAATCACACTACTATCTGCAATACCTTTAAAGACTGGGCCCAGAAAAGGATGTCCGAATATTACAAAGATAAGTAAAATTTTATGTTACTTTGCAAACTTAAGTTAATCTTTCATTCTTACTGCAAGTGGCAGATTTCAAGAAGTTTTACCTCATGCGAGGTCTACCTTTATCGCCAAAAGGGCGAGAAATGAGTTGTTACCGATTTTGGTATTATGTTTTTCAATTACTCGCGCGTAAAACTAAAGTTGATGTATAATAGCGTTGTGTAAAGACTTAAATATTGAAAAAAGTTATTGTATAAATTTTATTTAAAACATTCTAGCAAGAGAGAAGTTTTAATCTGAAAGACTTTTTGAAATGTAGTATTTCAATGTAGAAAGAATTGGCACTTGCTTTGAAAAGAATAGAAGTTAACAATGTACTACTAATGTATGTTTTCAAATGTGTAAAATTAACGGCATGTTGATATGTTCTTATATACAATGTGAACTGTTATTTTAAATGTTAAGAAATACCGTGATATGGTAAAAGTGAATGTTAAAATTTTTTATTCGTGTGACTGTAAAAAGACTAAAGCATGGCGAATATGTGTTAAAGGTTGAATGATGTAGTTAGGCTCTCTGACGCTACACTTTAGAGTTAGACACTTTTAGAATAGTACCTCAGGGTTTAGAGTTGAAATTAGGGTGTGTTAAGAGGTCTTGTTATGTTGAATTTTAACACGTTAGTGTTTTGATTGTAGGATGAAGTGTGGGACACGTAGACAGAAACACATTCGTGTTTGGTGTTCTTTTACAACACATGTCAGAGAGCACGGGGAGAGATAATTAAAATGGTCATGAATGAAATAAGAATGTTAAGAGAAGTATAATTGTATATGTTACTTGCCATTTCATTGTGTAACATTTGATTAAACTAGTTTTCCTTCCAGATCTCTGGAAGGAACCAGAATTGAATAAAAGCTCCTATTTAGATGCAGTACAGATGAAAAAAAATTGTTGTATATCCTGGGAGCTGCTATTGTAAAAAAAAAAAAAATTTCTTTCTTTTTAATTTCTAGTTTCTAGCGAAGTATGTTTGTAAAAAGATTGGCCTCGCGTTAGATTCTAGAGCTAAAAGTTTTCAACAAGGGTCGTTTTAGACCTCAGTTTCAAACTAATTAACTCTGGCGGGAAGTATGTAAGGATCTTAAGTTTTACTAACGTTTATTTTATTTTAAATCTTTACTATCACTTCTTATTTTCTACTTCCGGCCAGAATTATAAGCGTGAAGGTTTTTATGCAAAGTTTGTCTGGCGAACGCCAAGTATTTAAGTTGTGGCCTTTTGCCAAACGAGAGAGAGGAAGCAGTGAGTCAGAGCAGGCCGCTTACCTTAGAAGTTACTTAGTTGCTGTTTGCCTTCCAGGCCAGAGGTTTTAATCCTCTTGATAAATTTAAACGTATTGTAGTGTTCACAGTCTCTGTACTACATACGCTTCCTGTTATTATAAGGCCAATCTTCCACGTTTATTATTCTAAAGTTTATTATTCTAAAGTTAAATTAGAGTTTAGTTTTATTTTTATACTTTTACGTTACACCCCAAGTAGCGGGTCAGTGTATTCCGAAGTACGGAAGTTATTGTATATAGAGAAAAATAAAGGGTTTTGTATACCCTTCGTGTGTATCCTGTCTACTTACCACAATTAGTGAACATAGCTTTAGTAAGCTCTCTGTTCCGAGTCAGGTCCTTGTATGTTCCCGAAGAAGGTAAGAAGGATCATTGACCTTGATAATTGAAATTCACATCATATGATGCTATAATATCTCTAAAAATATTGTTAAATTAACAAGCTGTCTGTGCACCTTACGTATTCCTTTTACCCATGACAAAGATAATTATGTGAAACTGAAGTCTTTTAGATTTAAGGGAACGGTGGACTTTAAAAATGAGTTTTTTAAGTTTTTGTGTTTTCAACAAGAAGTTTTACACATATACATATTATAACATCAGTTTATAAAATATATGTTCAAAATTTCAATTTATTTTAAATTAAAAAATTTTAAAACAAATAATTAATTATTTTAATTAAAGATTACAAATGCTCCTTGCGCTCTAATTTTATTCTATATTTATCCTATAACTCTAATCTAGTTATAGGGAGAAACGATTTATACATTATATCGAATGAAACCTTTAAAATTCACCCGCACTTCTATGTTTTACCTTCATTTGTCATATTTACATTATCTTTTAATGCTTTACAATATTTTTTACTATTTCTGTTTCTTTCCAAGGAGGTAAAATTCTCTTTTTGCTTTGGTTCAGGCATTGATTTAGGTTAGGGCGAACATGTGGTTTTAAAGCAGTTTTTTTCCTTAGTATGCATTTAGAAACGTTCTGTCTTCGAATGCCTTTGTTTCACACTTTGGCGGATTTCTAAGCTAAAAGACAGGCGTGGTTTCCCATTTCTTCAGATTCAATAATTTTTTCGAAACTCTTTTCGTTACTTTTGTTGGAAATTCCGAGCATGAAAGGCAAAATCTTTTCAGATGTTTCAATCCAATAATTTAACAAGTTGCCCGTTTTATAAGAGGCTCGTATTAATATTACATTTACCAGCAGTCTTCTTAGAAACGTCCGCCACCACAAACCAAAATATCATCTGAAACAAAGAGTAACCGTCTGACAGAAGATTCACTGTATTTGCTCTACATATGTATCTTAAAAGCTACATATGTTCTTTATTATGATGCCATTGCACAAAGTTTTCCGAAACTGAAAATAACAGCTGATTCTTGCATAATTTGATTGAACTATTAATTAACCCCTTCCACATAAAATAGCATTTATAATGGTGCATACAACACCAACATTGGACACAGGGTCAGTGGGCTAATGTTCTCTTCACGGACGAGTCCAGTTTTAGTCTACAATATGATTTTCGGCGATTATTGATATGGAGGTAACCTGAAAGCCGATAACCATTCCAGCAACATCATGGAAAGGGACCAGCATAGTGGTGGAGGAGTGTCATGCAAGATACCCGTATGCCACTCCATTGGTTTGACACTGGTTCCATGAAGGCTCAAAGGTACAGGCAGGAGATCCTAGAGCCCTATAAGGAACTTTTCAGGAGTGCCGTTGGCCTTGAGTTCATTTTTTTAAGGAGGACAATGCTCGACCCCAAAGAGCTCACCTTGCTGATGACTACCTGGAAACCTAGGATTTTCACTGAATGGATTGGCCAGACAAATTTCCTGACCTTAATCCTATTGAACATGCTCGGGATATTCTTGGGAGGGCTATTGCAATACGCCAAACCCCACCCAGAACCATTTAGGAGTTCAAATCTGCTCTGGTGGAGAAGCCGGTGCGACTTTCACAGGCGCTCCTGAACTTTCTCATTAACAGCATGGCTACTCTTTGTGTATGCTGTCTGTCTTTCAGACGCGACCACAGACCACACTAGTTACATTTTCACTGTCATCTTTCAACCTCAAGTTTGGACCACACAGGACTCTTGGCCATAATTCATGCTAATGAATGGTGCTTTCATTATTGTTTTCTGCACATTATATTCATACGATAAACTATGCTATATAACATAGTAAATAAGTATAAAACATACTTAATTTCATTTATTTCTATCCAGTGTTTCTCGAGATAATTGAGGAAAAGTGTTCATTGTGTCCACCAGTGTACATATTCAGTTAATAAGAACGCAAATTCTAACTTTATATGAATATTTTAAATGACACAAATTTTGTATGAAATTATTTATTGAAAAATGAAAAGATATAAACATGTGTTACAAGTATATACAAATAATTTTAACAAATAAAAACATAAAAATATTAGACAAACTCATTAATATTTAAATTTCGAAATATTAAAATAATTTAGCACACATTAATAGTATTTGATTCAGGAAATAAAATATTAATATAATATTTTTCTCTTGCAAAAATAAGTTACTTTATTGCAACAAAATGTTTACTTTTTTACACCAAAAAGAGGACTTGTTACATTCGTTTTATCAGTTTTCTTACATCAAAAAGAGAAAGCCTTCCAGTCCTTTTTGCCAATAAAGCCATTATGAAACCAATATAAAATCTTATGAAGAGCTGATATATTCAATGAGTTTGCTCCTTCTATAGAGTACTAATAAATTATAATTTTTCTGATGCTTGTGAGCGCTAAGAATGGTGAACCGTCTTATATACCTATTAACGCTTAATGACTGACTAGTTAACCTCATGCAACGCAATAGCTGTATTTATGTTTACCTAAAATAGTAAATAATAATATGGTTTAAATACGCAGTAATTGTCTAATAATTATTGCAAAGTAAGAAAATTAATATTTAAATAAAGAAGCTTCTTTTTGGAAAGTATTTCAATCCTACTTAAAATGTATAACTATGTTTAGCTATATTTGCTCTATAAAAAAATATATAATGTATACCTATAGTTATCATTATATAAAATATACAGCAAAATATATAAAAGATATAAATGTATGCATTTACATATTTGAAACTTATTCTGTACATACAAAAACAGTATTTCAAGTTGGTTCCAAAGCTTTTAAATTTTACGCACAGAAGCATTCTTCAGAATATTTTTCCTCTCCACTGGCTTTGCGTATTCAGTTTTTCTGATCCGTGACTAAACTACCGGATAACTGGCCATTTCAGCGATACCGCATAAGTTCTTGTTTCTGGCTATACGAACGTAACCATTTTCTCCCCATGAAGTTCCCCAGCTATAAGTAAAAAATAATTGCATGAATTCTAATAGCAATGCTACGAATTAAATAATAATGACATGATTTCTAATAACAATGCTACGAATTAAAAAGTCATTGCAGGAATTCTAATAGCAGTGCTTCGGAACTGTATTAAGTTTTACATTCCAACACAGTGTCATAAGTAAGTTCTAAAATTGAGCTTCTAAGCGTAGGCTCGACAGATATATTATACCAAAGACTAGCCGTCGTATTACAAGTATAGTTACAAAAAGTAAAATTCATTTTCAAACGATATAAAAATTTCAAATATTAATAAAGTAAACACGTAAGAAACACATTTTCATCTAGAAGACTATATGCAGATATACAAGGTAAAATTCAGGGCAGCTTTTTTGAATTCAATCATAAAGTAGAAGAAAATAAATTCTGCTTTTGACCTCAGAACTATACAGTTAGAAAAAGAGTATAGCAAAATTACAAAAGGAAAATATATATCTTTGAGGTTAGAAGTTAATTACTTCTAATCTCAAAGACAAGTTCATATCATAAGCAAAGCAGCTTAACTACCTATAGAAAAATATGCCTTCGTGAAAGACTTTTTAAAAGTGTACCCATATTACACATGGACAAAACGATGAAACTTTGTCTGCAGACAGCCCGTTTCACCGGGATTCGAAGTCAGCTCGAGCTACCAATATTCGGTGACTTTATCGCTCAGCTGTTGGTGGGCTGAATGAGTCTTCGATTTTACTTACAAAGCCTCTTTCTAACTGTTATTAGAACTAAAGGAAGTCTAATTGTTATTAGAACTGAAGGAAGTCTTACTAATTGCACTAACGCACAAAATTTCGAAAGCTTTGGTTAAAAACAGCTTTAACATACCTATTTTTTATGATCCAGTAATCTTTTCCATTTTCCGTTCCATAGCCAACAATTAAAACTCCGTGATTTATTAGCTTTGGGCTACAGTTCTTCACATCATAAATTCCACTTCTGTATAATGAAAAGTAAAACTCTTAATGAATGATACGCATTTCCTTTGAAATGTAGTGCTTGAAGATTTACATCATCATAACATATTTCGATAAAATAGTATCAAATTGAAGGGGAATATTATTTGCTGAGAAAAGGTAAAGGAAATATATTTAATAATAACGGAATAAGCTTGTTGAATTTCATTGCATGCACGTTTAAAAATAAATGTGCTTAAATTTTAATAAAATATAGAATAATTTAAAAGTCTGGATATAACTTGCTGCTTTGTACGAAACAGAAATATACACTGTTGCAGGAATCGGAATTAAACATCGGGTGTAGGTGAGGTATAGAAAGCACTACATTATCAGATGTACGAGCATCACAGCGGTATATTAATTTTCGTCAGAAATTCTTAATTTGGAAAGGAACGTATGATACATAGGATTCAAACGAATTTTCTAAAATTATAGTAACACAAATGTTTTATATTTTTAATTGTTAAGATGCTAATGTCCTATGTTTCAGTTTCATTAAATTATCAACCCCCTGTTATTTCTTCTTTCCTGGTGATCCAGGAGGGCATTGATGATTCAAAACAAGTTCATATCATCCTTACGAATGGTTCAAGAAGCTCCATACCATGGTAATGGACTCAATAAAATTTCGGTAGGATTTGCCCGTAATGAATTTAAATCACACCGGTATCTATGGTTTTGTTTGTGAACTTCCCAATTTTACAAAGGTTACAGCTTCACTACTAAACTAGGTTAGTTAATTGATATAGCAGAGGGCAAGAACAATATGCCTTAGCTCTTGAGTGCTTTGTGGAGAATATTCTCCCTTTGTGAAAGACTTTCTAACGGTAACTGGTTTGTACTCCCATTACAATGGAGAAAATCACTAAACTACCTCATTCATCAAGATATTTCGCCGGAGCATAAGTCGAGACCAATGTTCAATTGCCTCATTACCGAATAGGGTTCTTTCTGCGACCATGGGATTCACTTTCTTGCAGAGTCCGTGTTGCGAACAATAACTGTTTTGAGATGTCATCTTCATTTAACTTTTGAATTAGTTGAACCTCAAACGGGTGGAATGTTGAACGCCCTTGCAATCGAAATTCCTTGGTTGAACCTTTCCAAATTTACTTGACGCGTACTGCAGTGGGTACCCATCACAAAAGTAGTTACAACTTCAGTGTTGTTGCTTCCTTTGTTAAAGTTTACTTAAATTATTTCAATAACTTCGATACTGCAGTGGGAATAATGTTACTTTCGTAAAGTGAAGGCTGTTAAATTCGTGAGCCTGGGAGCTTCTTCCTGTCTCACGGACAAACTCATTTCATTTTTGGACCCGCAACACTGTGCAGTGTCACACGAAATGAAGAAATACTAGCACAACGGTCGTATTTCATAAGTTTCTTAAGCTGCTTTCATAAGTTTCTCTTCATCCTTCTCCGGAATATCAACCCAGCTACTCAGAGTTGCTCCTATATTTTTCTTCGAAAACCGGCAGAAACCGTTCTGAAAAGCATAGTTTCTCAGAGTTATATATTTAAAAGACAAAGTTTTAATAACTAACACATCTTAATTTTTATCCCTCTGTTTCCTTCCTACGATCACATTTACAAGGTATTATATTCTTGTTAACCTTATGAGCATCGTTAGAGCAGTTTCATAAATTATTACTTCCTTAACGAAAGGAGACACCCTAAGAGAACCTTTGTTTTTGATGAGCCCTCTTTCTTTTTTAAAAATTTCTAGCGAGATTTTCTAGATTTCTAGATGCAGCAGTGATATTCACCTCCACCCCCGCACACACACACACATCACTTGTACCTGATATTTAATAACTATTCTTGTTACGATTTAAAAAACTGAAAGACTTTGCCAAGGTTTTTGAATCATCCGGTATAAGATGAAAATAAGTTCATTAATCCATAGAAATACCTATTCATGTACGAAGAAAAAATGCGGAAGCATTGGCATATAACGTACCTATAAATTCAGTATGAAACTGAATCATGTCGAAGATAAAACATGTGTTTGCAAAGTGAAATATATGGTTTTGAAAGAAAGCTTATCATCGACCTTATGAATTACTGTTTGGAGAAAACTATGCAAGCAATCTAATATTCCTTTTTCAGTTTTAAAATTAATTGATAATTGTTCAGCTAAGAATGATCTGAATTTTGACTTTATTCGTTCCACTTATGATCATATGAAAGATTATAAGAACAGTTAGGATCTTTATTCGTTTCATGAGTTCAGAAGTTAAAAACTATATACTTCTGATTTCGAATCTTACTTGTATTCCTCAAATCCATATCCTGCTGAATTAATACCAACTGAAACAGGTCCAACAGTCGCAACAGCTTTCATAAGTTTCTCTTCATCCTTCTCCGGAATATCAACCCAGCTACTCAGAGTTGCTCCTATATTTTTCTTCGAAAACCGGCAGAAACCGTTCTGAAAAGCATAGTTTCTCAGAGTTATATATTTAAAAGACAAAGTTTTAATAGCTAACACATCTTAATTTTTATCCCTCTGTTTCCTTCCTACGATCACATTTACAAGGTATTATATTCTTGTTATATTCAATTAAATTAGTAGTATCTAAAAATTAATGTTAAAGTTCACAATATTAATAATAAACTAATACTTACGCAGAGTGTTTTACACATTTCTTTAAGATATGACATATTCATACTCTAAAAGAACAATGGCTTACCCCATAATTTCGATAGCCATAGTCAGCTGTGATAGGTATTTCACTGTAAAATTTGGCATTTTAATTTCTCGCTGCAAAATTACATTTTGAGTAACAGTTTCCCACATAGAGTTTAGTAAGAATATTTTGTAACTTTTCATTTTTAATGAAAAAGCTATTAAACAAGAACATAAAGTAAGATATATAAGATGTAGTATGCTTCGCCATCATAAAATGTAACTAAATCTATTGAAGTGTTGATCGCTGCGAATTCTTACACAGGCTTCATGAACACAACTAGGGGAAGAGTGTAAAAGAGCCTTTTATTGAACACAAAATATTTAACAGATGGCACTGACTTACGTGCTTACGAAACACCAGCCGCTTGCGATGAGAACTTAAAAGATAATGTAATACTAAATTTAGAGGTAAAGTGTAGTGCGAGACTACACAATTCAATTTAAGCTAAGAAATTGACTCAGAAACCTACACATGCAGGATAATAACTCCGCGGCAAGAAGGCATAGCCACTTTTAAGTTTAACAGCTGGTGGAAACTAACAACGTGCACTCACAATAGACGCTCCGTCTAACATTTTCGCTCCCAACAGTTTAAATACTGTCGTTCACCCTAACTCATTTACGTCCTGACAAGGAAACGCGGGTTGGAGGGAATAAAATTCAGGAAAGGCTCACAAGATAAAATAACTCTTTTCAAAAATAAATAAAACCTCTAGTTACGCTTCATACAGCTTTGGCCTGAGAGGCAGATTTTATGCTTTTAAAATAAATGAGCTGTTTGAGAAAATATAAAATACTTACGTTTGAAAAAGCTGCGTTTTTTGATTTCATAGATTTTGTAAGATCAACTGGTACTTTTCCTCCATCTGTCTGGTTGTCAATTACCTTCCTTGTCTAACAATAACATCAGAACAAGTCCGCGAATTTTATTTTGGCGTAGAACGCAGAGTTGTGTTTATCATTGGCATGGTCATTCGGCGCCTAACAGGTGACATCGATTTTGCCAAGCTTAGACCTAGTCTTGAATGAGGATCCCCCCCTCCGAGCGGTATAACCTAACTGCATGAATCAAGCCCCCCCTCCTTGTGTGCCCACTACTCAACTGTGCGAATAAGTTTCCCCCCTTGGCTGCCCGGGAATTTAACGACCTCATTCCTTTCAAAAAGTTGAGGGTTATTATCTAATTTTACTTTTCGAAGCCAAAAACTGCCAACAGGAAAAGAAAGAGAAATAGGATGACATATCACAAGAACAAGTAAATAATACTTGATAAGAAGGCTAATTATAATTCAATTATAGTGATAAATACAAGAGCTGGCAGAGAAAATAAAAGGTATACTGGCACTAGAAACACATTTCATTGATTACAATACTAGAGCGAATATTGTCATAATAGTATTATAAACTAGATAAATGTAAAGCATACGAATATAAATTACATTTGTTAATGCCATTATTGATTTAATATGTTTCTTTGATAATAATATTTATGGTGTCTAAACTAGACTAGAAAATTTAATATAGTTAACTGGCGTGCGAACGATCATTCGGTACTATAACCTAACTGCATGAATCAAGCCCCCCCTCCTTGTGTGCCCACTATAGCACACAAGGAGGGGTAGTTCCGGAATAAACATGGTAAAGGACAGTACTTAGTACTTTCAGAAAAATTCCGGAATAAACATGTTAAGCAAATTAGATGGAGAATTAATCCATAATTTATTGATATCCATATAAAGTCTACGTTTTTGGAAAAACATACGTATAATTTGCACCAAAATGTCAATCACAGAAATCGTATTCATTTCTTTATTATTTTTTAATGGGATTTGCAAAGAGATGCGCTAAGGTAAAGGTGAAAATTACCAATGAATAGAACTTTGTAGTATTTTAAAGAGAAGGTACAGTACAAACATAAAAGTTTGCTGAATTACTGATTTACATGTTTGGTAAATCAGTTAAACTTACCTGCATGCCATTATGAAATATTAGGAATATAGCATAAAAGTATCAGTGAAAAAGGAAATGGCAATTTAAATCATTGCAATCTAACTGTATAGCATTAGGAGTATCTGCTATTAATTCCAATACTGATGGAAAAATTTTATATAAATTATAAATGAGGTATATTATAAATCGCATGAACGTGTTATATTATAAACTACAGTAGTTAGATTAGCGTGCTTTAGCGACCGTCATTCTTTACAAATAATTTCAAAGAATTAATTTTACAAATATTTAAACCTTTTAGTAGATTGGAAAATACGCTGCATATTGAAGAATGTAGATTAATCTGTACCAAGGTGTTCGAAACATCTTCTGTTAACTGGAGTTACGATGCAAGAGTTTGTGAAAATTATAATTTAAATGTAAGTTGACATAAATACAATACAACAATATGTAAATTCTAGAAACATGAAAACTTGAATACACTACAACAATATATGGAAAAGAAATGGATAAAGAGGCAATTGAAATCCCTAGATATAAGGGAGTTCGAAAATTTTTTATGAATTATGAAAATGTTACAGATGCTCATAATTATCACCTATTATCAATTTAATGTGTATTATGTATCAAATGTATGTTAAAGTAAAAGAAGAGTAAAGTATGGTTAGAGTTACAGGAAAACAGAATAAATATTTAAACGTTTCTAATATTAAAATATAGAATTTGTAAGAAAATAAAAACTTTAAAATAATTTCAATGATTAAAAATGGAAAGCTTAATAAGGCATATTATTTCAAAAATATTGGCGTGAATTTAGAACAGAATAACAATTCTAATTTTTAGATTTAATCAAGACAAATCTTAAAATTGAATTAGAACTATTTACCTAAAATGGGAAATTTGAAAGTTAAAAACCATTCCATACTATCTAATACATAATCCGTTTTTTGTGTCATTAACTATCAGTTTTATATAGGTCAAAATTTATACATCTATACATATACGTATAATTACAAAACAATTCTTTTGAAAATAAAACACATGAATTTAAATTTCTGGGCTTTGTTAAATATTAATTCTAAATTTCTTATATATATATGTGTAATGACCTTACTGATGAATAAGGCACCATAACGAAAACGAAACAAACATTTATTTATAATTAACGTTCAATTAATAATGGTAAAAAAAATTAACGTTCAAAGAATAATGGTAAACTCGGAGCACAACCTCGCTCCTACAACATAGCTAATCTACCACCTGCCTCCTCTGAGGCTAATATGCAACTGTCGTCTCTCACTTGCTGGGCTCTGCCAGGCAGCTGATTGGCTCACCGCAGCCAGATACATGACAATATATATATATATATATATATATATATATCTAGCTAAAATCTGCTATTTGGGAATTTTTTAATTCCTGTGTTCCTGTGGAGAGTAATCAAGATTTTGTTCATTGTTTTTTAAGCATTATAAAACTATATGATTGTAAAAGAAATTAATTTTTACTCTAGCACATAGCAGATTTTTAATTTAATATTTATTTCGTATGCACAATTTTTACATCTGATGAACGAAAATAAAGTGTTGCAGTCTCAATGAAATATCCCAATAATAAAAATAAAGGACATTTTGTAGCACTCATCTTGTTGCGAGCAAAGTCGCTCAGATCGTGGATTTACTTTGTTCTTTTTCAGCCTTCGCATATAAGATGGCGGATAGCCCCTGCACGCATTTATCGAGGACGCTTCTGCGACAGGCATTAACCACACCACAGTTTTTTGCACGTCTGCATCAAAATTTGTGCGAATACGGGTCATTAAAAAGTGGCAGACAAGTGAGGGCAGGCCACTATCGACTCGTTCGGTCATTAGGGAAGAAAGCGTGTTAGATGCGGTGGAGAGTAATCCAAGAACAAGCATATGTGCCATGCCTCTCGATTAAGAATGTCTCGTACCAGTGTCCAGTGTGTCTTGAACGTCGAGTCCTTCCACGCTTTTCGTCTCCAAAGCGTTCAGTTACTGCTCCCCGATGACCATCCTGAACGTGTGCATTTCGCATAGTGGTGTCTGCAAGAAAGTGCCCGTGATGTTAATTTCCCAGCTTATGTGTTGTTCACCAATGAGGCGACATTCAATAGGGATGAAGTATTCAATCACCACAATCAACAATCACCACAATCAATATTTGTGGCCTCAAGAAACCTCCCATCCGCTGTGCGGCACAACAACGCTTTGAAGTTAATGTGTGGGTTTGATTACCGACTGCTTAGTCGAGCCGTACGTTTTAGCATCCAGGTTGAATGCCGCGAATTATCTGATCTTTCTGGAGTAGGTTCTTTCCGACGTACTTGACATGTTCCACCAAATGTGAGGTGTAACATGTTGTTCCAACATGATGGGGCGCCTGCTCATTTTGGACTGGATGTTCGTAGCCATTTCAACAGATCATTCCCGCATCGATGGATTGAGAGTAGTGGACCGCTTCCTTGGCCTGATATCCCTCAATTTTACTGCAAAAATTGCTTTTCACTCAAAATTGAATTAGCTAAAATGCTTTATCGGAATGAGTTCTTTGGTTCTTTGCATTGGTTCTTTATCCCTTCTATTCACGGAAATGTTTGGCCTAGCTTGAATTGCCGGTTTGGAATCGCCTTATTGCTCGAGTGAAGGACGAAACACCTTCGTTTTTATTTCTTAATTATTGTTCATTGAACGGGAGTTGGTTTGTTCCCCTTGAAAAGTCAACTAATTTCCGATCAATGATTACTTGCATTTAATTTAATTACCTGCTTTTAATACGTTTCATTTAATTTAATTACTTGCTTGTAATTTATTTCTTTTTACAATTGAAATTTTGCTATTCATTATTTAATTCAAGTCCGCGTTAAACATTTTTAACATTTTTCGAAATTGAACTTACTAAATATGGATTCACTCTTTTAAGATAATTCTACTAAAATTAATCTTGGGAAATAATATAATAAATATATGTATATATATGTATATATAAGATATAAGAAAATACGATAGCTGCTTTAAAGAGATAATTACCTCACATTAATTTAAAACAAAATTTTTCTTTTTCTTCTTGTCATTGTAGGGTAATATTTAATGATATTTTTTCAAAATTTAAAAGAGTCTTTAAAAGACTTTTATACAAGTTATTTGTCTTAAATTTTAGTCTTAATTTTGTATAGTGTTGTATTTTTATTAAGTATTATGAAAAATTTTTGAAAGAAACCAGAAAAACTTTGACAATTGTGCAATGCCAAAAATCAGTTATCCTTTTTAAGGAACGGAGGTTTTTCGAGGTTATTGTACTTAAGCACCCCCAACCATCAGCAAAGTGGTACACTGATTTTGTTGGAAAGGACTTGCCAAATTAATCGTCAAAGTATTATTGTATATTCCATTATATTATTATGTTTTTATATTTAATTTTCTGTTGTATTAGGTATATGTATTATCTACAATAAGAAGAGTTTATGCAATTAATTATAAAATTGAATATTATATTTCACTGAATATAAAAGTTCATTTCACTGAATACGAGTTTCGCTAAATATGAAAGTTATATTTTACTGAATATGAAATTATATGAAAATCCACAATTCAGTTTGTATTATAATGGAAATATTTTCATCAACAGAAATTTGAAAGAGTTTTTTAGTGAACACTTACTTTATGAAAAACGTGTGAACATTTTCTTTGAAAGACCTTAAGTGAACATTTACTTTATAAAAGTATTTGAACATTTATCTGGTGGAATTATTTTAGTCAACAGATTTTACGAAAGTTTCATTTGAAATTCAAAAAGACATTGGACATTTTTTTCAAACTATATTTTCTTAATTTATTGGTTAGTTTGTTTATTGATTATATTTTTATTGCAATAAGTGTAAATTAGTTGTTTAAGTATTATATAATCTATGTATGAGAAAGGTCATGAATCATGACGGGACATAGGTAAATACGCAGCCTATGTCCTTAATGCTACTTCACGTCTTTCCTCATTCACTAATTATTCTCTTGCTTCGCTCATCCTTTTCTGTCACCCTGCTCTCCCGATCTTTCTTTTGAAGGGGTGAATATGTAAGATATAAAGAAATACGATAGCTCCTTTAAGAAATAATTGGCGATCTGAAAATTAACATTCTAGATTTGGTGATCTCCCCTAAATTCATCTGTTCTCCCAAATTCGAAATTTTTCTACATTATATAACGCTACTGGAAAAGGGTAATTAAAACCAATATTAACCAATCATAGCTTGTTTCTAGAATCGCACCTACTTTGGTATAAATACCTGTGGCGAGCTAATTATGTCATTACTCTGCTAGCTTCTACATTGCTAATATCTACTCACTTCGCTTCTTTAAAAATGCGCGCGACATTTCCTGTTAAAAACTAATGAGTATAAGAAATTATCGTATTTGTATGATTAAAGCTTATGCTGTCTATGTGAAGTTATTCTGGTGTGCCTGGAAATCTGGAAATAAAGATGATAATTGGCTGAACTTAGTTTGGTATCAACTCCTTCCTCTCGCCCTACCACTCAGCCATCGCAACTATGCTTCGAAATTAGGACATATATTATGAACAAACCGTAAGCATATAACAAGCTTGCACAAAGCTGTTTTATCAACAAAGTTTGATACGCAATGAGCCTACTAGCACCTACAAAACAGAGGTCCGTGAAACCAAGAACAGAAACTAAGTGCTCTTGCTTAGTTTTAGAGACATCTTCTAGACTTCCCTTAAGGTCACTTAATGGCTCGTTTTCTTCAGAAGGCCCTCCATAAATGCATCCTTCCAGACCAAATAGTTTACTTCAGTTTTAGGCAGTTAGTTTTACATATTTTCTATCCCTAAGCAGATAACTGTTCAGTTCTTTGCCATAAAAGAATTAACTCTAAAATCTTTACTATAGAATAGGGTTTATTCAATGTTTAAGTCTGATTTCAGTTATATTTAGTCGGTTTTTAATTATCAAATGATTGTTAATTTGGGTTTAAATGAAGGGGTTGAAATGTTGCTGCTGCTGCTGTTGTGACTTATCTCACTTTTCTGACGGCAGAACAAGCCCACGAAATAAATTGTGGTAAGTGCAAGACTGTGTCTGTCGTTGGCAAGAGCCTTGACCACCATACAGGTGACAATACAACTTTAGTCAGCTCCGCGCCCAGTTCTGATGGAGAGCAAACCGGGGTGGACGGGTCCGAGGGTCTTCCAACCCTCTTCCTCCCTAACACCAACCTCTCAAGAGGACTTTCTGCTCGCCGCATATTTAGAGAGCCCCCATGAAACACAGACATTATACATTTACAAACATCTGTGCTTTCTCCGATATTCGAACCCGGCCCCTTCGGTACGGCAGTCAGTGTCACTAACCACTATCCCGATTGGGCGGCAGAGGTTGAAATGTTTATAATAACATTTATTTTCCAGCTTAAACAATTTTGTGCCTATTATTGATAATTATTGATAAATGTATCTTACCTTTGCTTCATATGGATAAGAAACTTCAGTATCTATACCATGATTTCTTTTTATGTATTCAAATGCCAAATCCATCGCTCCGCCATCACAGCCTGAATTACCTATAAAATAAAATGTTCGCACTATTCAAGCTGAAGTATTCTTTATTTTACTTTTGCAAGCTTTGCATAAATCATACTTCTAAATTTATATGTCTTCTTATGTAATTAAGAAGGAGCTGATACACTTGATGTTTTCGAAGATAGTTAGCACTGATACAAGTCTAAAGGCATGTTTACACGAGGCAGCAAAGTTGCTCACCGCCGCGATAAAGTTTCTCTCTTAAACTTTTGCGATGGGAGAGTTCAACTTTCTGTTTCGCTGTTAGCAGATTTTTGAATTTTCATTAAAATTAAAGAAAGAAGCTTTCTGATTATCTGTGGAATAAAAAAATCTAAAATGCACAAATTATTTACAGACGGGGAGAAATCTATACCGTCTTTGACAAAATTCTGGATATCTAAAGAATAAAATGCTCAGAGTAAAAATTAATTGAGCTGAAACATCTCCATAAAATATTAAACATCAGCAAAAATTACTGGAAGTTTAGAAAAGCAAACTCAGATTTATATGTAAATTGATAAATATAAATTTATATCTGAATAAATATCTATTGAGATTTAAGCTCACTGGACACCATTTTACACTAAGATTTATTGGGTGATGATCTTGAAAATAAGGTAGTATTTTAAAAGATCCATGCTTAAAACTACTCGGGAGACAATTTTCGCAGAGACAATGGAAAAAAGACTCATACCTAATTCTAATCATTATTTAGAAATCCTTTCACCTGTCTTTGAACAAAGAAATGCTTTCCAAGATTTATTAGCCTCTTAGTCGTCTTTCCTGAGAACTAGACTCAGTGCAGTTAATGCAAAAATCAAATGAACTTATGCTAATTTTTGACGAATGTGGTAGATTAACAAGTGTAGAAAACTTGACTTTCGAGATCCCATTTCAAGGCTTTTGAAACTGACAAGTAATATTGAACGAGTCCAGCCTCAGGTTGAAATAACTATATCTTTTATACACTTCCAACGGCACTCTTTGTTGTAAAAAGAAAGCCCCTAATGATTTAGGAGTACATTATCTCAGGACACTAGACTTTTATTTAGAAAAAATAGATAATTGGATAGATAATTGGGACATTAACTAGTAATTGTATTCATCGTTGCCACTTTCTTCTGGTGGCTAAGCTCTTTTTAACAAGGCTTTTACTTTTGAAGCATTGGATATTGTTCTTAAGGACTTTGATCATGGTAAATCGAGTCGTCTGAATGGAACGCATGGGTAACATGTTGGCCAACTTAAATCAAACAGGCAGAAAATATCTGCTGGATTAATAAAAGTTTTCTTGGAGATTTGATAAACTTCCAAGAGACTGGCATGAAGTTGTTAGAATTTCCATCAAAAACCGGGCAATGATATATAGTTTTAGATCTATTGCATTAACCAGTATCCCGTGTAAGCTCACGAAACTAATTTTGCGCAGAATCTTACATCACCTTAATGTAAGTAATATGCTTCCCGAAAACCATTATGGTTTCAGAGAGGGTATAATCAGATAGACCAGGTAATTTACTATTTTAGGCAGAAGGTCAGAGATGTTCAGAATATGACGCTTAGGAATTACATGATGGCTGCTTTTCTTGACCTCGGAGAGACCTCCTTGCTTTTCTGCTCAGAGAAATATTAATTTGTGTCTTGCTAATTTTCAAAATTTTGCTGGAAATAATTTTCAATCCTTCAAAGTCTGTCACCAATAGCTTTACTACTAAAAGACATGTGTACAATCTGTGGCTAAATATCTTGCTTTTGGGAAAGATATTTAACTCTGAGAGACATTCAAAATATCTCGGATTCACCTTGAACCGGGAAATTCTCATCTATGCTCACAATGCTAATTTGATATTTAGATAGAAACAGAGACTTGAGATTTTAAAGTTTATCTCCGACAGGTACTAGCGGGCTGATGCCTTAACTTTAAGCGATACGTACACTGCTCTTATTGGCCCCTTTCTGTAATATGGTATTGGTAGATATTTACCAAGTTGCCTCGGTCAGTTACCATAAAACTGGAAAGAATTCAGCTCAATGCTGCGAGAATTGTCACTGGGTAAATCGCTGCTCAAATGATATCATTTCATATGAGGCTGCTCTGAAACCTCTCATACTCAAGCGTAAATAACTGCTGATTAAGTATTTTGCGAAGACAGAAATTTTCGGAAATCAACGCAGAACATCAGATTTTAAATAAAATAATTGGATTAAAAAATCGCAACCTGCCTCAAGAGAAACAGCTTGCTTAGAGCCGCTATGAGAGAAGGTTTGCTGCAAAATGAAGTGGAACAAACCTTCCTGTTCTGCTGTCTCTATCCTATTTTTTTTTTCCTTTTCAGTCCGAGTATTTTTAAACTTACTCGTTAATAACAGCATTCGTCTCTCAAGGCAACTGGTCCTGGAGGTCATTTGTAACGCAGTACAGATCTATACTAATGACAAGAGAGGGGATTAAGCTATCTCAAGTATCAGATTTTCATCAAGAAGGAGAATGATATTGTTAAAATTGGTAAGAAAAGTTCGAATTACTTCTCGGGTTTTAGGTCAGACTTGATAAGTATCGATGAAGGCCTTGAACTGTTACGTAAATACTAATCTTGACAGAGATATCTGAATTTTGAGTGACAGCTGTAATACAAGGGAGAAGTGGTAATTATACTACTGTGAACATTGCGTAAAAATTAAAATCCGCTAGTGAACACCATTGGGTGCTTTTCCAGTGGATTCCATTGTATGTAGATATCTATGGAAATGAAATGGCTGATAGGTTGGCTAAGAGGGAAGCTTTGAGGATACACTAAATTTTAGTGCAGTTACTTCAGTTCAGTTTTGTTAGTTACACCAGTTTAGTGCAGTTCTTTTGTAGTTACTTCTAGGCTGATTACTGATGACAAAGGATTGGTACACCAGGTTTTAAATTTTTTTATAGTTAAACAGGTGTATGTCCTACTCCCTCTCCTATCTACAGCAACACCTCCTAGTGACAACAAGAAAGCCATCTTGAGAGTTTATGTATTTTACACAGCTAATGGTTTTAACATTGGCTACCATGACATATATGGTACAAAGTGGCATCTTTTGCTTATAGAATTATAAAATATAGCATAAATGCATATGCCATAAAACTATACATAAATGTTATATATATATATATATATATATATATATATAAAACATAAACATACAATATATAACATGCACATAACACAAAACAGAAACATAAATATAAACATAGATCATAAACATGAATATAAACATACAACATAAAAGTATACATATAAAGAAATGTAAAAAATAAATATGAGGTAAAGTATATTGCTGCCTTTTCATGATTAAACTGTTATTCTATATCGTACAGCTGTGAGCTCATAATTTAAAGCTTTTACAGTTTTTAAAATGTTCACAAGTTTATTAGTTTATAAGTTCATTAGTTCATCAGTTCAAATGATGTATGCATTGTCACTGCTGAGAAAGTTCAGAAGATTATTGGAAGAAAAATGAACACTGAAACATAAATAAATAAAAAATAAAATAAAATCCGTTATGAAATGTTAGTTTAATATATGTTTGAATTTATCTTGGCTGGCATCTGTCTTGCTCAATCGTTTCTGTTATGTAGATACTTCAACAAGTCGCTGCTACTTAGAAGCGTCGGTGATATAACTATTAACACAGCAACCTTCAGGCTAAAGTTCGAGATCAGCTCCCTCCGGGAGAGTTGCCCTTGATCATGACTGGCATGATTGCAAATAGCCTGGAGTCGTACTACTTGAGGCGAGTAGTAGAGAGACTCAAATTATTGTTAGACAAGAGATAAGCCAAAATAATATAATAAAGCGTACATTTTAAATACGTGAAAAAAGGAAAACAAATTTTATTAGTTTATAAATAACGCAAGTCTAATAATTATGTTCTGAAATTAATGTAAAATAAGTGTCATACAGTTAAATAAATATTATCATTTATTAATACATAATTAATGTTAATTAATTGATTAATATGTAATTAATATTTCTTATTAATTGTTATATGCCAAAAAAAACATGGTAACATGGTACCAATATGTTATGACAAAAACGTCATGGTACCTAAATTGTTATGGTTTCCTAAAGGTAAGGTACCTAAAAGGTTTCCTACTCTGTTGACATAACACTTAAAATTTTCTAACAGTAATATACTAATATCAATAAGCCCTGTACATTTGCGTTGTGTTTTCGGATTAACCCTGAAATCAATTTGAGAATGAGACGGGTAAAAATCATGAGCACACACACAAAAATTCAAAAATTTAACCTTTGAATGATCTAGAAAAACTTATTTATTTAACTATTAATGCCAATTATAAATATATATATATCCATTAGTTGAAAAAAATATCAAAATATATTCAACAAAATTTGAACTATTGTTTTTCACATCAAACATTTCCAAGTAATTATTTTTTTAACATCCTTGTAATTACTATTAAATTTAATATTGCAAATCTGGTAAAACATACCAAAATAAACTATAAATTTAAGAACACTACCCTCCCCGGGGAGAAAAATAAAAAAAAAATTTAACAAGTTACACTTTCCACTTCACACAGAATTCCTCAATACAACAAAAATTATTGCTTAATATTGCACTCAATATCATCATTTAAATACTATTATTGCACATAACAATTTTTATTATTTAATTTTTTTTCTTAGATTAATTAAATATGGTTTAACCGGATAAAGATAAGTAATGACACATTTACTATTCTACAAACAAGTTCGTCCTGAGAAACAAGAATGCTCTAATACAAGCACTATTTCAAATCATCCTCACCAATGAGTAATTCAAAAAAAAAAAAACATTCAAGTAATAATTTCCTGAAGAACTTAATTTTCTTAACCATTAAGTTAAGTTACAATAATTTTAATAAGGTTATAAATCTTTATTCCATTTAATAAAGCTTTTACTTGATTGATACACCAAAGAAAAAATGATTTCTATAGAGTTAGGATAAAGTTATCAACTACAAAAAAAAATTTAGGGTTCAACAAATTAACAAATTAAGTTAATTCAATCATTTTAACTGCAGAAATCTATAATATTTAACTAACCAAGAATTAACCAAAAAAGAAAAGAACTTATCTGTTTAAGAGCATCAAACAAAAAAGAAATCCATCGAAGCTCATGAGGAATGCTGGCAGCCTGTTGAATGAAAAAAAAAAAAAAAATGTTCGTCGAACAGTTTGGATTCATTACGGTAGCCTAGAAGTTCTAGTAGATTTTAGGATGAACAAATGAGGTTCCAATACGGCAAGATAAGTGAAATACAGTGCTGGCGGCCTGTTGAATGGAAAAAATGTTCGTAGAACAGTATGGATTCATTACGGTAGCCTTGAAGTTCTAGTAGATTTTAGGATGAGCGAATGAGGTTCCAAAAGCAACGATTGTAAATTATTCATTATGGTAGCCTTGAAGTTCTAGTAGAATTTAGGATGAGCAAATGAGGTTCCAAAAACAACGGTTGTAAATTAACGCTCTGGTCTCGAGTGAAGCGACGAATCAATGGTGCGCATCATTTTTCTAGAAATTTACTTCTGTATATTTTTCTTGAGATACACAAACACACACAACAAAAAACTGATGAAAGAATTTCGATTTTTTTTTTGAAGACATAGATGCCCATACTTACGGCCCGCGCTCACAGCGCTTAGCCAAGAGGCCCGTAGGTCTATCGGGGAGAAGCTCCATTTTCTTCGTCGGAGTCAGCTGTCGCCTCCGGCCAATTCAAAGGGCAAAAGAAGTAAAGTGCAAAAAGTGTCAAAAAGTGCGCTCGTCCCACAAAACAACCCGTTAAAAGGGAGAGCGCCGGACTGCCAAGTTGGCGCAACCCATTTTTCGCCGAAAGTTGAAATAGTTGCAACCACAGCATACCCTCATGTTATCAAACTCGCCAAAACCACTATTTTGAAACCTCAACGGAAAATCTATGTCGCCAAACCCTCGCCAAATAAACACCACCTGCGACCGGGGGAGATTAGGAATTTCAACAACCCTGCAAGGGTCCCAACGAAAGAACGCTGAAAACTCGCAAAAAGTGACTTTTCAACCGGAAAGAAGGCATTTCATCCCCCTTTAACTAAATCACAAGCGAAACGAAGAAAAATCTACTAATTAAAGCTCATAACTGAAATGCAATTAAAGTTAGAAAAATGAAAGTTATGCCAAATTAAAGAGCTAATTTTTCTGCAACTAATGATATTAAATACTAAGAAATCAAATTAATTTTTGACATGAAAAACTGAGTTTATTACGTAGAAAAAAATACTTATCCATTGTTTGCGTGTACAAGATTGAAGACGCAGTTCGCGTAAACTCGGAAAGCCAAAATATATTACACTAGAATTAATAGGCCCAAAAAGAATATAACCAAACTTGTGTAGCTCAAATTTTGAATAATTACAAATTAAAATTTTGATTTTTATGAATCACTTAATTAAATTAAATTCGCTACACAACATCCCTCCGATGATCGTGAAAAAATTTTTTTGGCTAAGCCAAAAAAATTTTAGGACCCACAGACAATGGAAAAGTTTTACATAAGTTACTAAATACGAAGAGAAAAAAAAAAGTACATAATGGTACCACATGTTAATCACAAAGAAGGATACATATACCTATTTATAATTAATCCTACCATAAGTCATGGTTAGCAAATATAAATCCTACCAAAACAATGGTTAGCAAATCCAAATCCTACCATAATTGTATGGTTAGCAAATCCAAATCCTACCATAATTGTATGGTTAGAAAATCCTTTAGTGAACCGAGTAAGAGGGTCAAGAAGTGTCCCTGGCACACAACAAGCATACATCAAAACAAAATAAAAATGTTGTCAAACAACACGTGACACGCCCTAAAATAAAATGTGAAAAGTAAAATGTAAAATCACGAAACCCCCCCAAAGGCAAATCAAGTGAAAAGTGTGTAAAAACAAAATATATGTAAATAAACAAACACCACTGAGTATACGAGTGTTTAAAGCAAAACAATTCAAGAGCTACTGGCGCTTGACACAAAATGTAAACAAACTAGTTCTTGCAATCACCCATTGAAGTGACAATATCAACTCAAAAGTACGCTTAAGGAAAAAGTGTACCGTATAAATCCTAAGTTTCCCTAACACACAGAATTTCACTTCCCTAAGAACTGACACCACCCCACCAATACGAGAGGGCAAACAAGTAAACACCGCGACTGTACAGCGCCGACTAAACTACTAATAAATCCTTGGCATAAGAAAACCAAAAACGAGTTGCATTAAGAAGAACAGAAGACCATCACCACGAAGTGTTGGCTGGAAAACTATCTAGTCAAAAATTCTAACCGAAACAAATCCCGACTACCATGGCTAAGGGATTTCAAGAGAGAGAGAAAAAAAAATTTTGAACTTAAGAAAAGGAGAAAAGCGGGGACCAGCCCAGCAAAACCTCCAAAAAAAAAACAAACCTGGGCTATTGAGACTAGAAAGTTCCCAAGCCAAGACAACTTGATCACAACCTCACATGCCAAAACATGTAAAATCCAAATGCAACACTCGACCAATGATAAGCCAAGAAGACTACAACAACTATACTAATTGATTATAAAATTTGACTACAAGAATACAATTACCAGAAACAAATAATAATTTAACCAAAATTGTATACAAAACACACTATTTCTCAAAATATTTCATTTCACTTTTTCGACACACAAAACCATGTGTATCTCTAGGCCTTAGATGGTAAGGTGAATCGTGTGATGAGTTCTTTACATTATCTGTCAAAATTGAGTCATCCTTTTGAAGTGTGGGGAAAATAATTCTCTCTGGTACCTTCGTGAGTCTGTCCACGTGTATCGTCTGAATCCGATCAGGATTTGTAATTGAAGAGATTTTATAGTTAACTTTAGTCACTTTCTCAATAACCCTGAAAGGTCCCTGATTCAATTTAGAGAGTTTTCTAGCCATACCTGGCTG